GCTTCTCTGTTTTCCAGGCTGTCTCTTCTCAGCTTCTCTCCCTCAGATCCCCTGCAGCTTATTATGCAGAGCAGCTGAGCTCCTGATCTAGCCAACTGAGCAACCCAGGAGGAGAGAATCCTTTGAAAGGGTTCTGGGCAGCTCACAGAACCTCCATTGTATGATCAGAGAACCAGGCCAGAAAAAGGGAGGGAGCAAAAGAAAGAGAAAGCTCTGCAGCCAGGGTCAAGGCCAACAACTCCAGACACCAATAGCTTCCCCCATGTCATAGTTTCATGTCCTGAAGCCTCCTGCTCTGGACCCAATGATGCCGCTACTGCCCCACTGCCAGTGCTGTTCCTGCAAACCAGTGCTGCTAATACTGCTCAGCCCATGCAACCCCCACTGCCAAAACATCTTCTTCTCTGCCTGCTTCTTTGCATCACAAGCTCCCAGTTTCTAGTCTGGATGCAGGCATCTCATCAGCCAAGCCTATGTCTTGTGCCCGTTCTTGCCATAGCTGCAAAGGAGCCTAGAAAATGAAGCATCTGGTTTTTGGCTTCTATGGTGAAAGGAAGACTCTGCTTTCTGTCTGACCTCACACAGTGGGAAAATCCACAACCACAGGAAAGGGATTTGGATGTGGGGCAGCTGAAAGTCAAACCCATTTGCTTCACCTTTCCACTGTCTACTTGACTCCTGGCCTTTCTGGCTCCTTGAGGACTTTGTACAACCAAAGACTTGATATAGTCATTGCTAAAAGGTCATCTTCTCAAGTCTCATCTTCTAAGAACCTAAATCTTGGACAATTTTTTTCTTTTAACCTGTCTTTTCTTTTGCCTGAAATGAAATTGCCTATTTCATTAACCCTAATTTTAGAAATAAGAAGATCCATGCCCAAAGTAAATGAAACTGTTCTCAGGTGTCCAGGGTGATAAGTCATTTATTTTCTAGCTATGATTTAAGAGCAACTTTCAGACAACTTCTGTCCCTAAAATTCAGTTTTTATTTTGAACTATTTCTGATGTATCCTGAGACTGTAACAGAGAGAGCAGTCACAAGAGGAACGCTATGGATTCCCAAAGGTTGAGTCTTCCTTCCAAGTTGTCTTTACACCTGCACCATTCACACACCTGTGCTATTCACACACCTGCACTGTTCATACACCTGCACCATTCACACACATGCACTGTCCATACACCTGTGCAATTCACACACCTGCACTATTCATACACCTGCACCGTTCACACACATGCACTATCTATACCCCTGCACCATTCACACACATGCACTATCTATACCCCTGCACCATTCACACACATGCACT